GAATCTCCTCCAATATAAGACCACATTTCCTCTCGCCGATGCAACTTTCAGCCCGGCCCGGCCTCGCGGCGTCCTCTCCGTCTCTCTCTGCTTCCATTTGGAGGGAGTCGTTGTGTGTGTTATTGTGTCTCTTTTGAGGGAGTTGTGTGTGCGTTATTGTGTCTCCTTTGATCGCACAAACAGAGCCCAGCCGCCTCATAAAAGTCCTGTCTGCAGAACAAGCCCATAATGCAGATTTATGGGTCATTTACAGCGAGGTTAGTTGTCGGGGCGTTCGCTGTTTCCATCCACGGCTGCAGATAAGCCATTCAGCAGGAGCTCTCGTCCAAGAGAGAGACCAGAGAGAGAGACCAGCGAGAGAGACCAGAGAGAGAGACCAGAGAGAGAGACCAGAGAGAGAGACCAGAGAGAGAGAGACTAGAGAGAGACCAGAGAGAGAGACCAGAGAGAGAGACCAGAGAGAGGCCAGAGAGAGAGATACCAGAGAGAGACTAGAGAGAGAGACCAGAGAGAGAGACCAGAGAGAGGCCAGAGAGAGAGACCAGAGAGAGAGACCAGAGAGAGAGACCAGAGAGAGACCAGAGAGAGGGACCAGAGAGAGACCAGAGAGAGAGACTAGAGAGAGACCAGAGAGAGAGACCAGAGAGAGACCAGAGAGAGAGACCAGAGAGAGAGACCAGAGGAAGACTAGAGAGACCAGAGAGAGAGACCAGAGGAAGACTAGAGAGACCAGAGAGAGAGACCAGAGAGAGACCAGAGAGAGAGACCAGCGAGAGAGACCAGAGGAAGACTAGAGAGACCAGAGAGAGAGACCAGAGAGAGGCCAGAGAGAGAGAGACCAGAGAGAGAGACCAGAGAGAGACCAGAGAGAGAGACTAAAGACAGAAAGACCAGAGAGAGACCGGAGAGAGACAAGAGAGAGACCTGAGAGAGACTAGAGAGAAAGACTAAAAACAGAGACTAGAGAGAGAGTGTCCACTGTCACTTTGTCCTAGAGCTTCATGCATCTTATACTGTTTCTTTATTATGCTAGAGAGAGTCCAGAGAGAGAGAAACTAGGGAGAGACCAGAGAAAGACTAGCGGCAGAGAGAGAGACCAGCGAGAGGGAAACCAGAGATCAGAGAGAGACCAGAGAGAGACCAGAGAGGGAGACCAGAGAGAGTAACCAGAGAGAGACTAGAGAGATAAACCATAAAGAGACCAGAGAGAGGGACCAGAGAGAAGGAACAGAGAGAGGGACTAGAGCGAGACCAGAGAAAGAGACCATTAAAGCATCACCCTGCCTTTCTCTTCAACTGATGTTTTCATTTACTTTCACGCAATAATCCAAAACCCTCTGACCTCCAGAATAGCATTTTTCCCATTTCCCTGTTGGATTCTGAAGTGGCTTTTCCGGCGGCGGTGGGATCGGTGGGAATAGCGCGCCGCGGGCTCTTCATAATGTACTGTTACATTGCTTTTACATTATCTTTACTCCGCCATCAGCCTGGAATCAAATCAATAATGGCTTCATCAGTTTTATTTATGAGCTGGAGCTGCTGCAATGACATCTCTGGCCTCGTCCCCCCGGGTGATGCGTTCAACGTGACGCTCGCAAGGACAAACAACAAGATGGCGGCTTAGCGCGACGCCGGTTATTTCCCCGAGGCGTATTTTTGTGTTCGCTCATCACCGGCGCCGCGGCCGACAGGAAACGGTCACATGTAAGACTTAATAACGGAGACTGGAGGAGTGGTCAGCAGCAACTGGACTGTGGGTGAGGGGGGGGGGGGGGGGGTCTGAGGGGATGAGGGTCTGAGGGAGTGAGGGTCTGAGGGGGTGAGGTTCTGAGGGAGTGAGGGTCTGAGGGGGTGAGGGTCTGAGAGGGTGAGGGTCTGTGGGGGTGAGGGTCTGAGGGGGTGAGGGTCTGAGAGGGTGAGGGTCTGTGGGGGTGAGGGTCTGAGAGGGTGAGGGTCTGAGGGAGTGAGGGTCTGAGAGGGTGAGGGTCTGAGGGGGTGAGGGTCTGAGGGAGTGGGGGTCTGAGGGAGTGAGGGTCTGTGGGGGTGAGGGTCTGAGAGGGTGAGGGTCTGAGGGAGTGGGGGTCTGAGAGGGTGAGGGTCTGAGGGAGTGGGGGTCTGAGAGGGTGAGGGTCTGAGGGAGTGGGGGTCTGAGGGAGTGAGGGTCTGAGGGGATGAGGGTCTGAGGGAGTCAGGTCTGAGAGGGTAAGGGTCTGAGAGGGTGAGGGTCTGAGGGAGTGGGGGTCTGAGAGGGTGAGGGTCTGAGAGGGTGAGGGTCTGAGGGGATGAGGGTCTGAGGGAGTGGGGGGTCTGAGGGGGGTGAGGGTCTGAGGGAGTGGGGGTCTGAGGGAGTGAGGGTCTGAGGGGGTGAGGGTCTGAGAGGGTGAGGGTCTGAGGGAGTGGGGGTCTGAGAGGGTGAGGGTCTGAGGGAGTGGGGGTCTGAGGGAGTGAGGGTCTGAGGGGGTGAGGGTCTGAGGGGATGAGGGTCTGAGGGAGTGAGGGTCTGGAGAGGGTGAGGGTCTGAGAGGGTGAGGGTCTGAGGGGATGAGGGTCTGAGAGGGTGAGGGTCTGAGGGAGTGGGGGTCTGAGAGGGTGAGGGTCTGAGGGAGTGGGGGTCTGAGAGGGTGAGGGTCCTGAGGGAGTGGGGGTCTGAGAGGGTGAGGGTCTGAGGGAGTGGGGGTCTGAGGGAGTGAGGGTCTGAGGGAGTGGGGGTCTGAGGGAGTCAGGTCTGAGAGGGTAAGGGTCTGAGAGGGTGATGGTCTGTGGGGTTAAGTGTCTTGCCCAAGGACACAAAAACAGCAAACACCAGTTTGTCGAGCACGATTTTATTCACAAGGCAACTCAAAGTGCTGAACAAAACAAGATAGCATTAATTTAAAAAATAAATAATAATAATAATAATAATAATAATAATAAAAATAAGAATGATGATAATAATAATGATAATATTAATAATAATAATAATAATAATAATAATGATGATAATAATAATGATAATAATAATAATAATAATAATAATAATGATGATGATAATAATAATGATAATAATAATAATAACAATAACAACAAAAATAATAATAATAATAATAATAATAATAATAATAATGATGATGATGATGATGATGATGATGATGATGATGATGATGATAATAACAACAACAATAACAATAACAACAACAATAATAATAATAATAATAATAATAGTAATATTAATAATAATAATAATAATAATGATAATAATAATAATAATAATTCAGGGCCACAGAAGGTCCAAGGTTCGAATCCTGGTCAGAACAGGGCCTTCCTGAGTGGAGTTTGCATGTTCTCCCCATGTCTGCGTAGGTTTTCCTCCGAGTGCTTCGGTTTCCCCTACCTCTAAAAACATGTACAATAGGTCTGAATGTAATGAGTGAGTGAGTGGAGGGTGTTTGGTCGGAGGCTTTAATGGACCAGTGTAAATGTACTGAACCAGAAGTAGCGCCTCGTCATGGCTCGCTGTTCGCTGACCTCGCCCTGAATGTGCCGACTCAGGCGTTCTGTGTTCGTATCAGCGTGGCGTCTTCCCCAAAAGCACAAACCTCAGAGAGCACTCATCTGCATTCTCTGCGCTTGTCGGCGAGAGTCTGTGAGCCGCGGGGAGGACGGCCAGAATTCCAAGTCGCGGCTGGAGTCCCCACTTTGCTGCAGAGACAGATAATGGGACACATGAATATTAACACTGTCTGTGCACCTGCCACGGAAGGACCTCTGTATACACACTGGGGACCAGGGGGGAGGAGGGGGAGGAGGGGGGAGGAGGGGGGAGGGGGAGAGACCAGAGAGGGAGACTAGAGCGACAGACCAGAGACCAGAGAGGGAGACTAGAGCGAGAGACCAGAGAGAGAACAGAGAGAGAGACTAGAGCGAGAGACCAGAGAGAGAACAGAGAGAGAGACTAGAGTGAGACCAAAGAGGGAGACTAGAGAGGGAGACCAGAGAGAGACCAGAGAGAGACCAGAGAGAGACCAGAGAGAGAGACTAGAGAGAGACCAGAGAGACCAGAGAGAGAGAATAGAGAGAGAGACTAGAGAGAGACCAGAGAGACCAGAGAGAGAGAATAGAGTGCAGAGAGAGAAGAGAGAGAGACACCGAAGAGAAACTAGATAAAGAGACCGGAGAGAGAGACCAGACTGAAACCAGAGAGAGAAAAGAGAGACCAGAGAGAGACACCAGAGAGAGACTAGAAAGAGACACCAGAGAGAGACCAGAGAGAGGATGAGGAGGTGAGAAGTGTTTGGGTAAAAGGGGAAACATGTCAAATCTCTCACAGCTTTTGTTTGAGATCATGAGAGGAGTCAAAATGAGACAAACTTTGTCCATGAGCACTTCTCTATCAGGCTTCTTTGACTCTGTATACAGTCTGTGAGAGAGACTGAGGATACAGACAGATAGAAGCTCCTCCAGGCCTTTCTGAGTGGAGCTTACATGTTCTCCCGTGTCTGTGTAGGTTTCCTCCAGGTGCTCCGGTTTCCCCTACCACAAAAAACACGCACTATATGTTTGCCATGGAGGACGAAGAACAGGTGAAACTAGTCTAATTAGAATATTCCTTTCTCTCTTTCAACCTAAAACACAAAGTTGTCTCCTGGCTCTTACCACAGCCCCCCTCCTCCCCACCTGGTTCTTGCGTTGCCAGATTTGCGACCACTTCAAACAGAAACCTGGAAACTCCGCCGCCACTTATCACATTTCCTCTGCTTCTCTCTCTCTCTCTCTCTCTCTCTCTCTCTCTCTCTCTCTCTCTCTCTCTCTCTCTCTCTCTCTCTCTCTCTCTCTCTCTCTCTCTCTCTCTCTCTCTCTCTCTCTCTCTCTCTCTCTCTCTCTCTCTCTCTCTCTCTCTCTCTCTCTCTCTCTCTCTCTCTCTCTGGGTTTGATGTTATTCATGAGCAGTGACTGAGAGGAATCCGGCGGGCGAGGCCAGAGCGGACGCTGCAAATACAAAACGCCATCCGGATCGTGTACATATCTGTCGCTCCATAATGGGATGAAATTAAATAACGTCTACGGGGCGTTTGACTGCCTCTCATTTTTATCTGTCGGACCGAAGAGCCCAGACTTCACTATCTGCCCCCGACTGTTATTAAAGTTTATTCAAAATTACATATTTGCAAAAGCGAGGATTATTATGGGATGTGCAGAACAAAAGTGAACTGACAGAGCAGCTCGGGCCCAAAGGCTGCGCACAGACCGATGATGCTAACACGCTAGCTCAATGTAGCCTCGGAGGGAATGCTAACACGCTAGCTCGATGTAGCCTCAGAGGGAATGCTAACACGCTAGCTCAATGTTGCCTCAGAGGGAATGCTAACACGCTAGCTCAATGTAGCCTCAGAGGGAATGCTAACACGCTAGCTCAATGTAGCCTCGGAGGGAATGCTAACACGCTAGCTCAATGTAGCCTCAGAGGGAATGCTAACACGCTAGCTCAATGTAGCCTCAGAGGGAATGCTAACACGCTAGCTCAATGTAGCCTCAGAGGGAGCTAACTCTGGCTCCCATTGACTCACATATGAAAGTAAACTCCTCCAGCTCAGGAACCGTCCGTGTCTCCCTCACCTGTCCTGCTCCACCCAGAGGCTACTCCACCTTGTGACCTGTCCTGCTCCACCCAGAGGCTACTCCACCTCTGCTGCTGTGACCTGTCCTGCTCCACCCAGAGGCTACTCCACCTTGTGACCTGTCCTGCTCCACCCAGAGGCTACTCCACCTCTGCTGCTGTGACCTGAAGGGCTGTTGCTGATTGTTACTATTGTTATCTATAGAGAATTGTATTTATTTTTTTTGCTGCTGTTGGACACCTGAATTTCTCCCACGGGGATCACTAAAGTATCTACCTATCTAACCATCCATCCATCAGTCTGTGTGTCTATCTATCTATCCATCTATCCATTGATCAATCTATCTATGTATCTATCTATCCTAACTTGACAAAGCTGTAGTACCTGACTACCAGCCCACAATAATGATTCTGATGTAATAAAGTACATTTTGAGATCATTTTGTGTGAGACAGATGTATTGACTCGTGCAGCGACATCAGCACCACGGACAGCTCCAGTGCGTGTCAGACTTACACAGGAGAATATTCAGATGGAGAGAGTCGATTACACGGACACAAGAACAGTGCTTTCTCACTATGGTTCCTCGTTAACAAAGACAGACATTTTAGCCCATTCCTCATTGCAAAACAACTCGATCTTAGTCAGTTTAGATGCAGAGCGTTTGTGAACACAGATGTTTTGTTGGATTCAGGTCTGGACTCTGACTGTGCCATTTTAACTGTTTAAACCATTCCATTTTAGAATTAGTTTTGTGTTTACAAACTCTTTCTGGTCTCTCTCTCTGGTCTCTCTCTGGTCTCTCTCTGGTCTCTCTCTGGTCTCTCTCTGGTCTCTCTCTGGTCTCTCTCTCTAGTCTCTCTCTGGTCTCTCTCTGGTCTCTCTCTAGTCTCTCTCTGGTTTCTCTATGGTCTCTCTCTAGTCTCTCTCTGGTCTCTCTCTGGTCTCTCTCTAGTCTCTCTCTGGTTTCTCTCTGGTCTCTCTCTGGTCTCTCTCTGGTCTCTCTCTGGTCTCTCTCTCTAGTCTCTCTCTGGTTTCTCACTGGTCTCTCTCTGGTTTCTCTCTGGTCTCTCTCTCTAGTCTCTCTCTAGTCTCTCTCTGGTCTCTCTTTCTAGTCTCTCTCTGGTTTCTCTTTGGTCTCTCTCCGGTCTCTCTCTGGTCTCTCTCTGGTCTCTCTCTTTAGTCTCTCTCTGGTTTCTCTCTGGTCTCTCTCTAGTCTCTCTCTGGTCTCTCTCTCTAGTCTCTCTCTAGTCTCTCTCTGGTCTCTCTCTGGTCTCTCTCTCTCTTGTGTTTCTCTTTGCTCTCTCACTGCTCTCTCTCTTGGCTGTCTCTCACTGGTTTTTCTCTGCTGTCTCTCTCTCCCTTGGCTCTCTCTCTCTCTGCTCTCCCTTGTTGCTGTATGGTCTCTCTTTCTCTGGTCTCTCTCTGATCTCCCTTGTCTTTTTCTCACTGGTTTCGCTTTGGTCTCCATCTGGTCTCTCAAAATAATTGTACCTACAGTCATTAATGAGAGAGACCCCCCTGGGAGCAGCGACTGTGAGAAGGTCGGGGTCAAACTGTGACGATTACAACGTGTTTCGTTCTTTACCAAAGGACAGAGTACAATTAGTACATACGTGTTTTCATGCTCTGCACCAGAATCAGCTGTAATCTGATTAGCTTACGGAGCCCCCAGGGACCAGAACAAACCCCTGGGATCAGAACAACACACAAACACTCAGAAAACACAACACGCAATTATAGGTTCAAAACAAACGCACGCAAACATCAAAGAAACAAGAGGAAACAGCAGGAATGAACCGACAACAACCAGAGGGAAGAGACTTTCACTTACCTCCATCTATGAGCACTTCTCTCTAGGTTTCAGATCACTGAGAGAGACCAGAGGGAGACCAGAGAGAGACCAGAGGGAGACCAGGGAGAGACCAGAGAGAGACCAGAGAGAGACCAGAGAGAGACCAGAGAGAGACCAGAGAGAGAGACCAGAGAGAGACCAGAGAGAGACCAGAGAGAGACCAGAGAGAGACCAGGGAGAGACCAGAGAGAGACCAGAGAGAGACCAGAGAGAGACCAGAGAGAGACCAGAGAGAGACCAGAGAGAGACCAGGGAGAGACCAGAGAGAGACCAGAGAGAGACCAGAGAGAGACAGGAGACTGTAGTGTTTTATTGCTGGGACTCTGAGGAGCACAAGGACTGGTCTCTTGCTGGTCTAAACATGGATAAAGCAACGATTCAGATTCATGCTAAAATCTGGAACAGTCTTCCTGAAAATGTTCAACTTCAGGATATCTTTACTCTTTTTAATGAACTGTGTCTATGTGTTTTAGTTCAGCTCTGTGCCGTGTGTATGAACTGAGCTATGTGTATGTGTGTGTGTGTCTGTGTGTGCGTGCGTGCATGCGTGTATGTGTGTGTGTGTGTATGTGTGTGTGTCTGTGTGTGCGTGCGTGCATGCGTGTATGTGTGTGTGTGTATGTGTGTGTGTGTGTGTGCGTGTGTGCACTTGTTTTCAACTCCTGGTGGGTTCCATAACCTGAGATTCCACTCACGTCATGGGGACTGGTTTTACGTGGTGGGGCCCGAACACCGGACCCCACTGGTCCAAGCTTAATAATCAATGGGTAATGCTTTTCTAACGGTCCTTATGCAGTCTCTGTAAAAATATGGAAAGGACCCCTGGAGGTTTACTTTCCTGAAAAAAGTGTGTTATGTGTCGGAACCCTGGTGGTGGGTTGCGGGATATCAAGGAGGGGCACACTGGGGCAATTTCAGTCCAGCAGGCTGGAGCCAATCATGGAGCAGCACAACAGAGGAAGTCAGGTGAAAAGGTGCAAGTGTGTGGTTCATTAGGCTGCAAGAAATCATGGAGGAGCACACTGAAGCGCACGCTTACAAACCACTGGTAAGTGCTGACTACAAGTCATGACTTCACATTGTTATATAGAATGATTACAAATTATTTGTTGTTTGTGCAGCTTAGTCAAGAGTCCCTAATTGATGAAGTCGACTCAGATTCTGACGATTTAACTGTCAAGAAGAAACCTGTAAAAAAGTATGGAAAAAGAAAAATCAAAAACACTTTTCTTCAAGACTCGGAAAGTGACGAACCAAAGGCAAATAAGATTGTTATCATGCAGCTGCAAAAGAAGAAAAATGGGGGGCGAGTATACAGCAAGAGACACTTCTGCCTCTACTGTTCAATGTCCTGCCACAAAATGTCCCGTCATTTGACTAGAAAACATGGAAATGAAAGTGACGTAGCCAGAGCATTGGCTCTACCTGTGAAATCTAAAGCACGTAAACTTCAGTTTGATTTGATCAGGAATAGTGGAAACCGTGAGCACAATTTTGAGGTTTTAAAGGCCGGCATTGGAACTTTAGTCCCAGCTAAACAGCCAAATTGCCCAGTTAAATCCAGTGAGTTTTTGCACTGTATAGACTGTGGGGCATTGCTTAAGCGAAAGTCGCTGTGGAGGCATGTGGCCAGGTGCCGGCTTTCACAGAAAGATGCCCAGGCTAAACCAGGCTAAACCAGGTAGAAGTAGGGTCCAGTCCCTCTGCTCCCTAGCCCAGCCTGTACCGGAGGGCATCAGCAAAAAGCTGTGGTCTTTAATTTGGGCAATGCATCAGGATGAGGTCACGGGTGTTGTCAAAGCAGAAAAGGGGATTCTGAGACTCGGAGAGCACCTGTACTTAAAACACGGGCATGATAAGACAAAGCATGATTACATTAGGCAGAAAATGAGAGAAGTCGGTAGGTTAATTAACGAAGCAAAAACCGCAGGGAAACTGAAAACAATTAAGGATTTCTTTATTCCTTCCAACTTTAACCATGTGATTGATGCAGTCAGGTCTGTGGCTGGATATGATGAGGAAACAAATCAATACAAGACTCCATCCTTGGCCCTCAAACTCGGCCATAGCCTCAGAAAGCTAGCAGATATTCTTGAATGTGACTCAAAAATGGAGCATTGTGTTGATGAACTATTTATTAAAAACCTCCAACGAAGCCGGCTGCTTTTTGAGAAGAGGTGGGACGTCTGTGTTTCTTCTGCTGCCCTACAGACCCTCCGGCAAGCCAAGTGGAACACTCCGGACCTGCTCCCTCTGACTGAGGACGTTAGAGCCATGCATGCACATATTGAGGTATGTCGACCTGAATATGTGCAAACCCTAATAAGTGAGCCAACGTCTAAGCATTGGTCTAAACTGGCAGTTTTGACTCTTTGTGAGGTCATCATTTTCAATCGAAGAAGGGAAGGTGAGGTTTCAAAGATGCCACTGACAGCCTTTACCTTAAGAAGTAAGACTGGGATCCATTCTGACATTGCTCTGGGACTGTCCCAACTTGAGAAAAAGCTGTGTCAGCATTTTCAACGCATTGAAATTAAAGGGAAAAGAAGTCG